GCAATTGCGCTGGTGATCACTCGCTTCCCCTCGGTGAGTGCGCGGGCGCTCGCGGGCGATGCGTCGCTGCAGTGGCAAGGGGCCGACGAACGCGAAACTAAGATTGCGTTCGCGGCCGCGCGCGAGCTCTGTCGCGAGGTCTCGCCGGTAGGCCTCCTTTCGCTGCCGAACAAGTCAGGATGTGTCGCATCGAGTGTGGCCGCTGAGAAGAATGTAGCCTCGGCGGGCCGCTCGATCGGCTTCCGACACCAGAAGCACATGCGCAGCTTGCGATATGATCCCCATGGGAGGCGCGCCCCTCGCACGATGGAGGCTCGGAGGCGCGGGCGCTTGAACCTGGGGAGGCATCGCCGCAATGCGCCGCGGCGGGCGGCGGGGGGTGACAGGGCGGCGGGGCTCTGGAGACTGGGGCTCATGTTATGCGGCAGCCACGAGGCTGCTGTCTCAGACGTCGCGGGCGCCGCTCTCCGCAGTCTGTGAACGCTGGCCGCTTCGCTCATGGGCGCCAACGGCAGCTGCCGCGTCGCGCCCTGCCCGCGCGCCCATCGTCGCCCTTTTGACGACCCTACTTATGCTGCTACCGTTCCCCTTGCGTTCAGGCGTTGCTGCTGGGTGAAGGGCGGAACAAGAGTTCGGACCTCAGGTGCGCGTGGGAAGCGGCGTCCCAGGCCCTGCGTGCCAAGCCTCATTGGTCCAGAGTCTGGGGCCCCATCTGCGCCGTCAGGTTGTCTTTGCAGCGCGTGGGGTGGGAGCTGATAGGCCCGCGCCGCGTCTGGTCTGATCGCCGGCAGGTCATTTCCCTCATTCATACCTCGCCGTGTGATGTCAGGCATCTCTTGAGAGCTGGAATCAGCTGGGCGCAGACAGAAGGGCGCGAGCTGAAGGGGGTCAGATGATCCCGTCTTAGGGCGCTGCGGGCCGGGGCCACATGGCCAGCCGCCCACAATTCCAGCATGGCTACGTTGATGGCAGCAAATGCGAATTTCTGGGAGCACCCGCGCGGCACGCCGGGCCACTAGCTTCAAGAATGCGAAGGGCTCTGGTCAGAGAGCATCGATCCTGAAGCAGGCCCGTTGAAGCCAGGTGGTTGCTTTGAGCGCCGCGAATGGATGGGAAGGCAGGCTCGCGGGGCCGCCCCCGATTTCGACCCCGCCGAGCCGGTGCAAGGGTTGTCCCCCGAGGGCCCAGGGCCTCCGCCCGCGCGCGGATGGGGGCGGCCTGGCGTCGGGAACCCCTGGGGCCACCAAGCGCGGCTGCTCCGCGGCCCCCCTGCCCCCTGGGGCTGGCCCGTGAGGGCTGAGCATGGGGCTCGCGCGGGGACTGTTCATGCGGTCCCGAGGGCGGAGCGCCGGGCCATGCTGCACGCGCTGCGCGTTGGGCCGCGGGGCCCCGAAGTGGCGTTTGACCATTTGTCCGCGGTCATGGGCGGAGTCTCCCGGGGCCGAGGTCTCGCCGCTGGCGCGGCCCAGCGCGCGTCGGTTTGGAAGCGAGCTTTTCAGCTGCATCGAGACGGGCCTGAGAGGCCCACGTTCCGCCGGACCCCGGCCCGCCGCGCTGTTGAGCAGGCGACGGTGGACTAAACGATTGGGGCCGAGGACCCGGGCCAGAGCATCATCGACCGCGTCGGCAATGCGCGGGCTGATGTGTTTCGCCAGGTTGGGGGCAGCCGAGCATGAGCTGCGTAGGTTTGGACGGCTCAGCTTCGAGTCTCCCAGAATGGGACTGCGCCCTGGATTTCTCGTCGAGAGCTGCGCGGCTCGCGGCCGCCTCAGCCAGGTGCCGACGCGACCAAGGGTGCTGTGCGATTTTGTGCCGCCACTCGCTCTGCTTTCCCCCGATCTGGAGGCGGTGGAGGGGGCGTCGGGCGGCGCTCGCTGCGCGCGGCGACGCTGCTCCGCGCGCGCGCGCCCAGGAGCAGACAGAAGCGCGAGCGGCCTGGTACAAGTTGCAGGCCTGCGGCCCCCCACTTGTACCTCTCGGCTGCGTGCGCCTGGCGGCGCGGATGGGGCCATTCCTAGGGCCCGGTGGACTGCCGTCAAAGCCGCAGAGGGCTCCGATGGGTCCCCGATGGAGCCCCGATGGAGCCCCCGATGCTAGAGGGCTCCGCTGGGTCCCCGATGGAGGCCCCTGATTCTGTCCTGTTCAAAAATCATCCTGTGCAGCCTGCTGGCCGCTTCCTTGTTGCCGCCTATGCGCGGCGCATTGTCAAATTGAGGCACCGGTCCGGCGCGAGCTCCTTGCGCCGTGTGAAGGGGTCGCCTCGTCGAGCCAGGCTCGGTTCAGGGACGAGGTCATCGCTGGTCGCGAGCCGTGTGTTTCTGTCCGTCCAAGGTTCTGCTTTGATCCCGAGTCGATTGGTTCGTGACGGCTCTGATTCGGGATCATCGGGTTGACGCTAGGGATAGGCAGTTGGACACAGGGCATCCTCCCTTCGTGCGATTTGGCCCTATCTTTCTGCCTGCCCTCTGCTCGCGTCAGTTCGTGGGCGCCGCATCTCCGGGGATATCGGCTATGTGTCCGAGCTTCTCTGTTTGCTGCCAGCGGCCCGCACTCCTGTGGTGAGTGTGCTCTCTTGTCTGTAAAGGCTGGCCACGGTGGCAGAGCCTCGGTTGTTTGCATAAAACTGCCACGCGGTATGTATTGGCACTTATACGCTCGGGCACCTGCGGGCGGCTTTGGACAATGATCTCTGGGGCCTTTGTTTTCTAGGTTGCCCCAAGTATGGTCCCGTTGGATATGTCCCTGCGTCGTCCTGCGTTTTTCTGTCTGCCGCCAGCGGCCCGCACTCCTGTGTAGGTTGTGCCCTTGTCTGTCTGGGCTGTGTCTCGGTGGCGGAGCCTCGGTTATTCACATTTATTTGACATGCGGCATTGATTTGAATTTATGTGTTCGCGCATCCGCGGGCGACTGGGTAACTATGAGCAATGGGGCCATTATGGGGTTGCCCCAAGTATTGTCCCATTGGCTCTGTCCCTGCGTCGGCCTGCGTTTTTCTCTTTGCTGCCAGCGGCCCGCTTCCTGTGACGATTGTGCCCTGGTCTGTCCAGGCTTTGCCATGGTGGCAGAGCCTCGTTTATTTGTATGTATCTGCCACGCGGCATTCATTTGAATTTTGTGTTCGGGCACCTGCGCGCGGCGGGGGGACAATGAGCAATGGGGCCATTCTGGGGTTGCCCCAAGGTTGGTACCGCTGGCTCTGTCCCTGCGTCGTTCTGCGCTTTACGATGGCTGCCTGCTTCAAGGGAGCCCCTTTCCCTGGCCCCTGCCAGGCGCTCTTCTGGGGCGGTGCTGGATTCCAGCGCTACCCCGAGGCTCGGCCTCCCTTGCCCAGCGGCTAGGGTCCGTTGCGGCGGATGCTAGACCTTGACTGTCCCACTGTCGCTCTGTGCGCGCAGCCGCGGAAAAGGCGCGGGGCCAATATGGGGGAACGTTTTGCACACACAGGCCAGCCATTGACGGTCTGAAGGCCCAAGCGCACACCCCAAATGACAAGGATAGCGGACAACACCGTCGCATTTTGCTGGAGACGCGGAAAACCGAGCAGAGGACCAGAAACGCGTCCGGAACTTGCGGAGAGGTTTTGCACCCTGGGCCGCGGATTGAACAAACCAAATCGATGGCCCCCTGAGACGTCTACGGCGCCGAAGATGTGCCGGAGTTGTCGTTGTTTGTGGCTCGTTCGTGACCTGGCTGGGTGTCCTGGGAGGGCCCAAATGGTGGAAATCAGATCGGCCAATCACGCGCAGGTGGCTTGGGATGACTCGGGTGGTGAGAACGCATGGGCTTACCATGCGTTCGTGACCTGGGTTCGTGTCGCGGGAGGCATCCCATGGTAAGAATCGTGCGGCCCTACCACACGTTCGTGGTCTGGGAGGACATCGTTGGTCTGAATCCTATGGCACTGCCACTCGTTCGTAGCCTGGCGACACTACCATGGTGGAATTTCTGTGGCGCAGACGCGCTTTCGAGATCCGTCAAAACTAGAAGAATGATGATCCTATGCCCCTGCCATGCGTTCGTGACCTGGGAAGGCAACAGAACAAAGAACATCTGTAATGAGGGATCGTGGCCGTTGGGGCCACGTATGCGCACCACACGAGAACACGACTCCTGCTGAAACTGTGATGAAATCTCAACAGAAATGCCGACTCCAGCAAGGCGTCTGGCACGGGCGCCGACCTCTCTCACTGGCGACCCGTGGGACTTCTCTGTGGCTTTGTGTGTACACACATTCGAACCCAAGTCTCCTTCGCCTCCTCCTCCTCCACTACGACAGAAGGACGAGACTTACAGAGGCCCACGCCTATCCGAAGTACGTCGACCTTTGAAAGAGTCTGCTTTTTTGAGAATCGGTATCCCCCCCTCCTCGCGAGTCAAAAACGAGGCGTTCAAGAATGCGGCACCAGCCCAAGACGATCCCCGGAGAGCCTTTTGGACCGTCTTGAGGCCGTTCCTGGGCCTTGAGGCCATAGAAGGCAACGTTCGAACGCTCTTGGGCGGTCGTGGGCTCGCTGGGGGCCCTCTTGGGATCCTCTTTGGGGCTGCTATTCTGTAAATGTCTACGGCAAGTTCGCGTCGTGTCGACCCCAACATTGGTTCCTGACTCCGCGGGGATCGTTCAAACTTGAACGATCGGCCGTTCCGTGAACGACTGATCGTTTAACGATGGGACGTTTTTGGGCCACGGGCGGCGTTCAACCTTAAACGCGCGCGCTGGTGTCGCCGCCAGTCGGCACGACGCGAACCTGCCGTGCCGCATCCCCCCGTCCCGGTCACGCTTCCTTGTAAGAACTGCCCCCTGCCAGCAATGCTTTGGGCGCCCAAGTCACTGCCCTGCGAAACACCATGGGGTCGACGGATGCGGCGCAAGCCTCACACATCAAAAACAGTCTCATGATTTACCGCTGCTCCAATTCAGTCAGTAAGCTGCACAGCGCGTGCAGCCCGACAGACTTTGCAATGCTCAAGATTGGGGGCCGTGCGCTTCGTAGCAGGGGCGCCTCGTTACGGTGGTGAATGGAAAAAGGCGTCTCTTGCCTCGAGCCGACTGCAAACTCGCCCATGATTGCTCCAGACCTGTTTGAGACCACCGGAAACTCGCCCCTTCATACCAAGATCGCTGGAAGCTGAATCACTCGTTCTTTCAGTGCCAGCCAGTGGACCAATTCTTCGAATTTCGCGCTATTTGAAGATCGGGGGGGTATCGAAACAGATGGTTAGATATAATGCACTCCCTTCATCATGGCTGTTCTGATTGATATAGACAAGTCACTTTGAGAATGCGATCGGCTACGGACTACAATGTAAACCAGTGTGAAGCGGATGCCACGCATTGGTATTCGCACCTGTCTATGAAGATACATGTAGAGAGTCATTGCAGGGAAGGACTATTCGACAGGTTGTACTGGGGAGGACAACAGACGAACATGAAAAGGCTAAAGAAGATGAAGGGAATGACCAGGTGAGGTAGAGGATGAACAGAGGGAAGGCGGAGGAAGAAAGAGAGAGAGAGAGAGAGCGAGAGAAGAAGAGAGAGAGAGAGAGAGGGAGAGAAAGGGAAACGGAATAACTTAAAAAACAAGGGAAAAAAGAAGGACGAGGCCGAAAGAGAGGAGGGAAAGAAAAAGGATGTGGATGAAGATGAGGAAACGGAATTGCTGACTCTGGTTTAACTCAGTGCGGTCCTGGGCTGCCCCTGCTCTCTTCCTTCTCTCCTCTCCCCCGTTTGAGCTACCTCCTCCACCTCGTCAGGGAATGTACCTCGTTAGTTTCGGAGCCGCTTATGTTTGGTAATGCATAACTCGAACATGTGCCTCACCATGTCCCGTGCTGGCTTGGGACTCACGTAGGGGTGGCTATGGGCTGGGAGCCACCGTGCTTCCACTATTGACAATGGTGCCCGCTTCTTGTTCAGCCCCACTCTCGCGGAAAGCGGGCACAACGACACCGTTTGCATTTTGAATGCAGCTCTGTGAAAATGTCCTCCGAACTGCCACGAGGCACAGCTCCGTTCGGATCAGCTCTGTTGAGTGTTGCGTTGATTCCGGAAGGCACTCAGGGCCTGGATTTCAGGGAGCTGTCGGGCGATCCTGGGCGCTTCTGGGACTTATCGAATGACATATCTGGAGGCCTCGGGGGCGTGGCTGGAATTCCAAACGTCCAACATGATTAGTATCCATCATAAAAACTTCGATCCTCTTCGATCCTCATCCTCATCCATTCCCTGGTTCCTCCTTCTGCTCACTTACCCCGTGTCGCGGTCCTTCGTCTCCACACCCAACACATCTCAACATCTCCACCACCCCACTCGAGCAGACGCAATACACTTCCTCACCAAGGGCAGCCCTGATGCTGCTGCTGTGCCTCTGTTAGCCTCCAGCTCGCGGAGGCCGACAAATCTGACAACTCCTCGTCCCCCCTCCACCTCCAAGCATCCCTGTCCATACTAAGGCCCAGAGGCCGAATGACCAATGAAACAGACCCGAGGGGCGATCCCACCCCAAGCGCCACCAAACACAGAATCCATACAACGCCCAGGCCCACAACAATCGAGCCTTCCAAGAATCATCTCCACCTCCACGTCGCTGTCGCTGCGGGTGGGTTCAGTGCAACATTCCACTTCCCTGCCTGTCCTCCTCATGACATAGGCGTCGCTTCCCTGAATATCGTTTTACCGATCACCATCCCCAACGACGTGCCCTGGGCCCCACTGGCCGATTTACCCCCTGGATGGGGATATAGCTCGTTCTCTCCGGGTTTCGAGGGACGTATCCCCAACTGGGGTGGTATTTTGTTGGGGGTCTCGAAGGAGTTGGAGATGGGGGATGGGGATCGGTTAAACGATACCGATTCACTGGGACAGCTCTTCGTCCTGGGCCGCTTCCCGACGGCCCAAGAGATCCCGAAAGCGGGCCCCCCAGGGACGAAATCTCTGAAAAACACCATCACAAGGATTGCAAACAAAAAACATTCCGACGAAGGTGTGGGACCACAGAGTTTCCCTTCGACATCCCCAGAGGTCTCTGGAGGCCCAAGGTGGGCCATGCTCAATAACCTCGATGCTCGTGGTCGTCTTCGTCGTCCTCCTCCTCCTCGTCGTCGTCAGTAACTATTTTGGCTCAAGTTCCAGCCCGAGAGCCCGAAGGGGCAACTCGCGCGCTGGCAGCGCGCGATGTTGCCCGCTGGGAGCCCGGTTGCTGGGTGGCTCCTGCAGCTCCTGGAGTGGGCGGCCAACGAGCACGCGGCGGCGGTCTTCGCCGACGGCCTGGAAGCGGGCAAGAAGCTCGCCGAGGGCGCAGCAGCGGAGGCAGCCGCAGCAGCCGCGGCCTTGGAGGCCCCGGGGGAGTAGCACGTCGACGAGCAGACCGGCAAGCTGGTAGGCGAGGGGGCGGCGACAACCTGCACGAAGAGGCGCGGGAGCTCCTCGCCGCGCACGGTGTGCAAGAAGGAACCGTGGAAGCGGGGCCTGACGACCCTGGGCAGGCGGTGCGGAAGGGGCGCGGTGCTTCGCCGCAGGCGAGGCCAACGGCAGCGGAGCGGACCAGCTTCGAGCACGACACGGCGGGTGGCAACCCGGTCGGCGCGCCGGGGGACGGGCGCGGGGAGAACGGGAGGAGGACCTCGAGAGAGCCAACGCCGAGGCGGCCGCTGGTTACGGGCCGCTGGCGGAAGCGCAGGTGGAGGAGGACGTGGCCAAGAAGGAACTCGCCAAGAAGGCCTCGGGCAGCGAGCACGAGCTCCTGGCAGAGGCCACGGCGCTGGCGACGGCCGAGGCTGAGGCCAGGAGCGCGGAGGGGGCGGTTCGGAGGGCGGCATCGGAACACAGCGGTTCGGAGGGCGGCATCGGCGGACAGCTGCGCGGACGGTGGCATCGGTGGGCATCGGCTCGGACGGTGGCGGCACGGACGGCGAGCTGGAGAGCGGGGGCGGCACGTACCTCGGCAAGCATGCGCTCCTGGCGGAGGCCCTGGCGCTGGCTGCGGCCGAGGCCGACGGCAGGTACAGCGACAGCGAAGAGGAGGAAGAGGACTTTGACGGCGGCTGCGACGACGTCAAACGCTCGTTCGTAGATCTGGGTCACGACGCCGCCCAGATCCAGGCTGTTCTGGACAAGGCGGGCCGTCCAAGGGATCCGCATGAAGGAACACACCCAGTTCCTGACGAACTCGCGCACGACGCTGCTGGCGATGGGCTGGAGCGACAAACGCATCAGGGAGAGGGGGCCCGACTTGGTGCAGGAGCAGCTGGCGAGGTACATGCGGCTCAGCACGTTCTGGGGCCAGCAGGTGGGCAAGGGACATGGTGGCCCGAGCTCGGCCTGGGCAGCGGCGGGCCGCCGACGCCACCAGCCGACGCCGTGGCGGCACCGAGCGCTGAGGGCGCTGGCGGAAAGGGCAACATGAGCGAAGGATGAGGGCTGAGTTGCACTGTCACTGCCGCGCACTGAGGCTTCGGTGTCACACGCGGGGCTGGCGGGGCGGGGCGGCCCTGCTGGGCGGTGGGCGCGCCAAGGCTTCTGCTCGGCGACCGCGCGCGCGCTGCCCGCCGCAGGGGACGGGCTTGACCCGCCCCGCGGCGCCGTCGAAGCACGTCGTCGTCGTCGTCGTCGTCGTCGTTGTCGTTGGCGGCGGCGTCGTCGCTGATCGTCCATCTGGCAGGAGGGCGGAAAGCGCGCGGCAAAGGCACGCCGCGCCGCCAGCCGCCGCCGGGCAAGGGGGGCTCGGCATCCGCTCGCGCCCGTGGTTTCGGGCCCCCCGCTGGCGGGGAGGCGGGACGCCCTCCCGGTCGCGGGATGGCTCAAGAACATCGGCGTCGTGAGCCAGCAACCGACCGTGATACCTAATCGGTTCTACCGAAGCTATTCCCCAGGAGGGGAAACAAAACAAGCGAGGAAAATGCCTACCTGCAACGTCTGCGCGACCCTGCCATAATCTCGGGACCGGCCTATCCAGTCAAATCCGACGATCTGGTGTGTGAGTTTAAGAGGGCGTGGGTTTGAACTTCGCTGGAAGGGGGCGGGGGCCGTGCAACACTTGTGCAGCGCTTTCCTAGGGGAGAGGGGAGGGGCGGGGGGGGGGGCGGCGTGCAGCGCTTTCCACGGGGGACCTGTCCGCTCTGGGAGAGGTTGGGGGAAGCTCCGCTCCGAGAGGGGGGGGGTGGGGGGGGCGTGCCGCGCCTTCTGCCGAGACCCTGCCCGCTCGGGGAGGCGGGGGGCGCGCTCTGGGACGGGGGGGAGCTGAAAGGGAGAGGAGGCGTGCTCTGGGAGGGGAAGGGGGAGGAGCGTACAGCGCTTTCCAGGTTGGACCCAGACCCTGTCCCGTGTCCGCTCTGGCGGGGGGGGTCCGCTCTGGGGAGGGTGGCAGGGCCGTGCAGCGCTTTCCGGGAATACTCTGTCCGCTGTGAAGGGGGGAGAAGGAGCGCTCTGGGAGGGACGGGGGGAGCTTGCAACGCTGTGCAGGGAAGATCCTGTCCGCTCTGAGAAGGACGGGGGGGCCGTGCAGCGCTTTCCGAGACGACCCTGTCCTCTCCTGGTTTTGAATGGGGCGCTGAGGCCTGGGCCAAAACCCGATAAATGACCCAGAGCTACCGGGGGCGGAACTCAGGGCCCCGAACCCTGATGGCGGATCCCGAGCTTCCGGGGGCGGAACTCAGGGCTCCGAACCCTGATCTGGTTCCCTGGCCCGGAGCTTCCGGGTTCGGAATTCGAAGTCCCGCGGGCCTTGGACCTCGGATCCCAGACTCCGACTCCCTGGCCCTCCTGCATGGCCCCCGCCCCGGCCCTGGCGTCGGCCTCTCCCCAGGGCGGACAGGGTCGTCGCGGAAACTGCACGGCCCCCCCCGCCCCTCCCAGAGCGGAGGCCTTCCCCCACTCCCAGAGCGGACAGGGCCCTCCCCAGAAGCGTTGCACGCTGCCCCCTTCCCCTCCCTTCTCCCCCTCCCAGATCGGACAGGGTCCCCCCAGAGAGCGCTGCACGCCCTAACCTTGCGCGCCAGGGCGGGGTCGAGGTCCAGAGCCCGAGGCTGGGGCCAGAACGGCCAAGGAACCGAAGTCCAGCATCCGCGA